AGTGTGGGGCAGGGTGCTATCCCGCAGCTGGTGTGAGCAGCTGTTCCATCTCTGCTCAAGGACAGATCACCTCCAGCAAAAGCACAGGGCTGTCTGCCGAGGACGAAGGGAGAGCTGGGGCCAGGCAGCAGCCGGGGGGACTTGGCATGCTTCTACAAAATGAACTTGGCTGTCACTGGCGCTGGTTATTTAGTACATTCACCTCCCCTGGAGCGAGAACAGGACACTCTCAGGCTAAGAGACGGCAGCACACAGCATGTCCGTAGTAAACAATTTATTTTTCTACCTCAGTTGCTTACAGGGGGAAACATAAACCGTCATTAGGGAGCAGTGCAGACGAACTATTTACAGCAACGGGGGAAACTCACAATGGCTGAACTGAACTGCCTGAAAGGCGAGCACTTCAGGACACGCTCACCAGAGCAAAGCAGTTCACAGAAGCCAAGGTCAAACTAAGAGGAGGAAAGCCTACAAGCTTTGTTTTTGAAGAGCAGCAACCGCCTCCTCCGCCACCACTCAGGAAAAAGCCCGGAGAACAATGAAAGGGAACCAGGCAATTGTGCATCAGTTATCTCTAACAAGAGGAGCCAAACTGCACGGACCTCCTGCCACGCTGACCTGTTCTATGGCTATCAAGGGCGCTGGTATTCAAATGTACACATCTGATCACACCGGGTCAGGCAAACAGAGCCACGGGTCGCTGCCCACAAACTCTGGCTTTTGTGGGTGTGACTGAAATGTCACTACTAACTCAAGAGAGTAGGGACATTTCAAAGAGGGATGTGGACGGGGTCAGCATAACATGATCCTTCTGGATAGGGGGTGCTAGCACTGAGCTGTAGCCCAATTTGGATGGTCCCAGATGTTCTGTTCCTTCCCACCCTGGGGTCCCATGGGGTAGGGGTAAGATACACAGGTGAAGCAGTGAGGTTGGGTAAGGGGAGCCCAGTGGGGAGGTGGCATCTGTGCCCACTAGGTGCAACAACTAGCAGGCTCAGGGTGACTCTACTGTCCCTTCTCAGACAGACAGATGAGTTCATTGTGGCAATAGCCACCAAGAGACCAGCCCCAAAGGACAAAGGCAACTGGACAGTGTTTACACAGCTGCTCATTCAGGTCCCATTTTCCACAAGGTTTTACAGAAGGGTGTGTGTGCGTGCACGCGCACGTCACCATAGCACGCCACAGGACACAGGTGCACCCTCCAGTTCACACAGCTGCAACCCCTCTGGGTCACCAGCACTTAAAAGCTTATGTCTTGCCCCATGAGATGCCCAGCAAGCCCACTTGATCATTATTCTAAAAAGGCAGCATCTGCAGGATTCCTCCAAGGAATCCCTACCTTGGGGGTGGGGTGCAGGTAGGGGTGGGACTGGCCACAATGCATTCAGGAAGCAAAGTGGGAGGGCACAGGCACACCAAGTTTTCTGGAACGAAACAAAGCAAAACAACGAGGTCTTTCCCAGAATTTAAAACAGGAGAAATCATGTTCATTCACTCAATCAGCCAGACAGGACAGATTTCAGCGGGCCCTGCCAGCAGTCGGGCGGCTCTGGCACGAGTGTGTACGCTCTAGAAATGATGGCAAGCCCCCACTTGTGATGCTTCTTTTAAGAGCTTGTTGATAACAATTACATCTCATGAATCGAAATCGGCAAATAGTTTGAGGAGTGAAAAGGGACCAGACACAGAGTCCACAGAGTTGCTAGTTAACAGGGTAAACAGATGGGAGAGGCCCAGAAGGGGAGGATGAGAGGACGTGGGCAGACCACTGGTGATAGGACCACCGTTCCAGACTCAACACTGATGCGAACGCAGGGCTAGGGAAGACCCCTGAGCACGAGAGGCAGGAGCCATTTGCCAACGGCTCCCCAACCTTCTTAGAAAAGAGCCCCAACCCCAATTCTGACCCAAGGCCGTACAGCCCATTTCTCAGCACATGGTGCTTGTTCCCAAACAACCCTGCAGGTGGCTACACAGATTAACCTGTTTGACACAGTTGTGTGGCCCACGAAGATCTATTGGGACTACATGTCACACAGGTGGGGTGAGACCTGGACCCCAGTCAGTTGACATGGACGTATAGGAAGAGACATGTGCTAAGAACACTTTGGAAGGGATGAGGTTCCTGTCTGATGAGAAGGACCCAGACTCCTGCTAATGCATGAAAGTTGTGGTTTGAGAACCCGGTAGGCTGTCATTTCTCTCCCACCATTTCTCTAGGATGGACTCAGAAGGCTTAGGAGGGGCGCGGGACTCACGTAGGACCTCAGAGGGGCTAGAAATGAAACGTGGGCACAGGATAAGGCTATTGAGATCACAAAGGAAAAGCAGGAAAAGCGTCGGGACAACCTGGTGGTGACAAGAGCTGGGCCAGAGTCAGAAAGGGCCAGGATTGAGCCCCAGGGCATGTGAACTGCTCTTCAGAACCACCTAAAGGGGGCAAGGAGAAGGCAGAGCCCTAGGTGGCCCCACTGTTGGAGCACCACTGGGCAGTCCCATCGCCTCCTTAGCCACACCCACCTCAAACAGTCCTTATGGAGTGACACAGGAGACTAAAGTCAGGACACCCTCAAGATTTCATGCTGAAGTCCAAGCCTTAAACTCTGTGACAATGTCAAATTTGATTCTAGAGGGACTGACCACATCCTGAACTCATGACTGGAAGGACACAGGAGGCAGTCTAGGCTTCGCGTCTAGGGCTTGACAGTTAGAACAAATAGATGGGGGCTGATGCTCCATGAAGGGCAACTCCAGGGCCTAGGGTCATGGAGTGGGGTGAGCTCTGACCCCAACCTGACTCCTGACATACTAAGAAAAAGGCTGGGTGGTTCACACCTCCTCAGCTGCAGATTGATAGTTGTCTCTCTCGGGTCATGGGATAAGAGAATCTTTTGACTACAAATGGATAGGACACAGAAAGTTTGGTGGCTGAGAGTAGACTGTCCAGCCTATGGGCCAGGGAATACTGCCTGCCTGCCTTCAAGCCGATTTCTCCCCCATAGTTAACCCTAGTGACTGGCCACAGTTGAAGGGTTGGAAACACGATGAACAGCATCTCCAGGCATAGACACTGTACCCGCTCCTTATCAAAGCCTTGACTTCCCAGAAGGAACCAGTCACCTGAGGAACAGCACCTCAGTTATCCAGCCTCAGCTAGGTCACGCTGGCACGTCTGTCTCTCTGTCTGTCTGGGGCAGACCCACGGATGTGGGCCACAGAGTTAGAACACTGCCAGAAACTTCCTGAGCTGGTTCAGACAAGACAGGGGTCTTAGCATGGGGTCCACTTCCTGTCCCCAAAGTATCACACATTGTGCCCCTCCAACTCTGCATGTACACACTTCTAGAGCACCGTACCGCATCTTTTGATGGAACAACACTGAGCAACAGAACCCTCAGCGGGATGGAAACACACCATTTTCCACTCTGAGACCAGCCACCAGCCTCGTGTGACTGCCCAGCCGCTGGCATGCAGCCAGTGTGAATGAAGACCTCAGGTTTTCCTTTCTCCTGAACTTTAATTACTACAGATCTAAATTTTAGTGGCCTATGGCACCTAGTTGGCCAGTGGATACTGGCTAACAGTGAAGTATTAGACGTTAGGATTCAGGCTGCCTGGGCTAATTGCTGCCCCTTGCTCACTGTGACTCTGCCTCTATGCCTTGGGATCTCTACCTGTAGTGGGGATAAACTAGGCACCGTTCTAGCCTGAATACAGATTTTCTGTCCCAGGAGTCCAAGCCGCAGAAAGGCTGTGGAGAGGAGAGAGCCCGCCAAGGGCCCTTGCCCACAGCATCTCCCAGAGGGGGAAACTGCCAAGGTCCCAGCAGAGCCATTCCGCTCAACGTTCTACTTGGGTTTCTGTAGCTCCATCTCTCTCCCTTCTGTCCCTGACCCCACACTCAGAGAGCTGCACTGTCTGTCTTTCTCACTCACCAACCATTCACAAATAAGAAGTGAGGACCAGAGCGCGTGACTGGCCACACAGCCACTTGTCCAACTGGAACCAGAGCCAGGATAGTGTCTAGGTTTCCAGTACTGGCCAGAATCATGGGACACAGCCCTGCGCGTCTCTGTCACCATTTCAAAGCCTGAACTGAGGCCAGTGCTCGCCTTAGGCACAGCCTTCCCTCAGGCCGGCTTTCTGTGCCCTCTGCTCAGCACTTCTTCCGAGGTCTCCAAGTAGAGATGTGGTAACCCCAAGAATAGTCACTGAGAGTAGTACCTCCCCGCAACCGCACCAGCCTATGCACACAGAGAACCGCGGAGCACAGACTTCCCTTACATCAGCTCTGGCCACATTATCTGGCCTTTGACTCTGACACACTAGGCACCCTAATATATTCTCATCTGTGAGGAAGTTTACCTCACAAAGAACATCAACACTCCTAAAGCATCATTTCCTGCAGCATCCTCTGCATTTTCCCCAGACCACACCCACTGGCTCCCTCAGCGCTAAAGCACCTGAGCATGGGGGAGGCAGTGTCATGCTCAGCTGTCTATGCAGAGCAGAACGAGAATTTGCAGAGTCCGTTCAGGGTACAAAGCACAAATCTGACCCCTGGACCTCATCAGCATATACCAGAAAAGCCCGATGTCAGGGCAGTCGAGAGGATTAGAGGAGAGGAGGAAGGGAAGGCAGGCTGGGAAGCATTAGACAGGCAGATGTGAAGAGCAGCAGGCAGCAGGGATGGTGGATGCAGCAATGAGCCCCGGGCCTGAAGTTAATCCCCCAGAAAAGCCCGAGAACAGGCTTGGGGGCAGAGGCGGTGAGCAGAAGGGGTTTCCCACCTCTTCTCTCCTCCTGTTTTGCCACCCGCCTCAAGGAAACACTCTAGTCCATTGGAAAGTTCCAATTATACCCTGACCATGGACAAGAGAGGACTTGGAAGGTCGACACACAGGTATGCAAATTGTGTTCTCTCTCGGAGCATCTCCCGCTCCCCTTCAGATGTCTGCCTCCCAAATTTCCAAAACCCCAGCATCTAAGCCACTTACCTGGGAACTGATAGCCATAGCTAGGAGCGAATCCGGGGTAGCCTCGGCCATAGGTTGCCACAAAATTGGGGTAGCCTTGAACAAAGAGAGAAAGAACGAGGTGTCAGACAGTGGCCTTGGACCCGGAGTGCTATTTCACGGAAGGTGACAGCGAACATCAGCTGTGGTTATGCTCACAGAATGATGGATCTCTGGGGAGGGTCTCTATTCAGGCCCTGGATCCCCTCTCTCCCACGGCTGGAGGTGTGACCATGAGGATGTTTATAATTAACCCATATTTAGGCAGCCAGACTGCCCAAAGCCCAGGTACATTCATGAACCCGTAGAGTAAATACCACATGGAAGGAGGAGCACAGTGCCTGCCTGTGGCTCTGACATTTGGAGAGCTTACCCTGAATGTACTTTACCTTAAAGATGTTGACAGTAGGAGATTAAAGTCCTTGTACTGCCTTCTTTTGAGGCAGTGGACAGGAGCCAGAGCATCACACGGGGCAGGGGTACTCTGGGATTGGCAGTTTAGTAGCTACGCAGAGGGCTGCCTCTCAGCTTAGCAAGCCACGGCTGAGGGAGGCGGAGGCCATGGCCCAGCATAGACACTGCAAAGAGGTGTGTCTTCGAGAGAGCTAGAGGGACCGTGTGAAAACCTGTACCAGGAAGTCCCGGCTGAGCTCTGAAGGCCAGGCGCAGAATTCCCATGGACAATTCATGGTGGATGGTTTGTCTGATCCTTCTGCAGAAGGTGACCTACTAAAGGGTGCTGAGAGCCCTGTAGTGAGTCCTGGATGGGGTGGGCCTGCTCCACTCTATGAAGCAATCTCCCATTCAGGAGGTCACTTCGGTACTGCCCTCCTCATTCTTCATGCCCCGTCCCGACTAACAACAGTGGTGGTGAACGGAGCCTTCCTGTACTGTAGCTTCCTTGGTCACAGCGACTCCACAACTACCTCCTGTCCTCGTCCCCAGAGACCTACTGTACCTCCTTCCACCCTGTGTGGGTTAGCTCAGTACAATCATACTCCAAAAATGTCACCCCAGTTCCCTACCAGCACACTGACTAGCCCTCAGCTTTGGCCTCTGAGGTGGCTGGCTGGTGGGTGTCAGTTTGGCCAGCACTTGAACGCACTCTGCTTCTGCCTGGGCGGCAGGCCAAGGCAAACTTTCACAGGGACCTGCATCTAGAGCCAGTGGACAGAGGATGACAGGTGATTCTGAGTGTTTACTCTGGCATCAGCAGGACAATCCAGCAGCCAGAGGTGCCAAGTGGCCCTCTGACCAGGCCATTCCTGGGCTGTCCCCTTGGCTGGCAGCTGAAGCTCTGATGACTAAACTCTCGAAGCTCCTGTCTGCTTGCCAGGCTCCATTCCCCAGCCTTCCTGCTAATTCTGAGCACCACCGCTCCGTAGAATAGTCTTTGCCACTCCCAGAGGTCAGAAGCACTTCTTCTATTTCTACCAAAGAGAGAGTGGAAAGCCACTTCTGTGGTGGATGTAGGGCAGGCCCCAAGTTTTCCAGAAGACGGGGAACAGTGGCCACTCTACCTGTTTCTGCTCTGCTTGCATACTCCCCCGAAGCACAAGCTCAGGGAGTTTATTATTCACCTCCCCATGGAGTGTCATACCAATCACACTCTGACCCTGCGTTCCACGTTCTCCTCCCCATCACGAGTCAGGCCTGGGAAGTCTTCCCACTGCCAGTCAGTGCTTATGCCTCAGAGGCCCAAAGTTAAGCCTTGCATGGCTTTTTCCTTGGAGATGCTGGGGGATGGCTTCACCACTAGACCTAGGTCACTCATGGGTCTGGAAGTCAGGAGACCTGGTACCTAGGCCTAGCTCAAGACCACGCCCTTGGGGATGACCATGGCCTGACTGTTTGAGTCTCCCTAAATTCACACTGAAATCCTGATGCGGAAGAATTGTCTGTATTGTGTCAATTATATTTTAATAAAATGCCGATTGGCCAGGCAGGCAATATAGGCGGGAAAGCCAGACAGGAAGTAGGGGTGGAGCAAAAAGACCGGGGATATTCTGGAAGCAGAAGCTCTCTCAGCCACTCCTGCGCAGACCACCGAAGAGGCAGCATGTAACATGCCCAGCTGAGAAAGGTACGGAGCCATTATGGCTAACATAGATGAGAAAAATGAGTTAATATAAGTTATAAGAGTTAACAAGAAGCCTGACCTAATGAGCCAATCAGCTTTATAGTTTATAGAGATTTCTGTGTGATTGATTTTCCTTGGGGCTTGCTGGCTTGTTGGGGTACCGGGCGGGACAGAAACCCCAACAAGCCGGTCCCCTCATGTTACAAAATCCTAACCTTCAAACCTGATATACCATATTAGGAGTTAAGGCCTTTGGGAGGCAAATGGCTCACAAGAGCACAGCCCTCATAAATGGATGAGTGCTCTTTCCCGGAAGGTTCCAGAGAGACCACTGATTCTCTCACTATGTGAGGCCGGAGTACTGTCGTGATGAACAGGCGTTCACCACCTGTAACCATTCCATAAGGGCCTTGATTTTGGATTTCCTAGCATTCAGGGCTGAGAAATAGATGTGAATTCAAAAGCTGATTAAGACCTATGGGATTCTGTCACATGACTCTGACCTAAGATGGGGGTTTCCCCCTTTCATTTGGAGGTGGAGTCTTGCCACAGGTAAAAAGCCTTGCAGGTCACTGGTGGCACTGGGGTGCTCAAATTCTCAGCAATGACCAGCTGTGGTCCTTGCTACGGCTGGAGCCTTTCCACCTGTGAACTAAGTCACTGGCCAACTGGGCTAGCTCTACTTCATCTGGGCCCGGCCACTGGCTCCGTCCTGGTGAGATTATCCTCCAGGCTCACGATGCCTCACTGGCAGAAGGCAAGACAGAATGACCCAGCAACATTGTACCTACTGGTCTCAGAGGGGCAGGAGCCTAGGAGGCCACTGAGCTCAGAGCACCTGATGGGGAAGAGAGAGGAGAGTGGTGGCCAGACCCCAGAGTCCTTGACTGAACACATATGCAATGGGCTGTTCTTTGGAATTTTATATCCTGGCTGGGCAGCTCAATTTTTCTCTAAATTAATCATCTACTATCAAATCAGATCTTTTCAGGGCTAGATTTCTGATAGCACTATTTCAACAATATTGATAAATGGATTATAGGCAAATGGTCAAATCACTACTGCCTAGGGGTTGTCCTGAAGAAAAATGGCTCCTTTGCTGCTAACTTCAGAGCAGGGGCTTAAATTTGAAGTGTTAATTTGACAGGAAGAGCAAAAGCCCATGCGTCATTTCCCCTGAATGTAGGTGAGGAACAGTGGGATGGCTAGTCCCTCCTGGTACTCAAGTTACCTGTATAGCTTCATTGCAAATATTCTCCCTCACGAAGATCCTCAAGTCTTCAACACGGAAAAAGAAACATACTGTCAAGTTCCCACAGACTTTGGGCCTCACCCTGTTCTTCCGGATTGGCCAATATCATCATCACCCAAGGAATGGAGATGAAAATTCCACACCTGCCACGCTGGGGGAATCTCATCTCCATACCCCCAATACTGAAGAGCCTCTCTGTCAGGCAGATGAAATTATAAATTTATAATACAACATTACTTCAATTTTCCTCTTCATTTGCGGCTGTGCAGCGCAGCTCTGCTCCAGTGGCTCAGGGCCCGGGCCGCACGGGGGAAACTGGCTGGCTGCATATCAATAGCACATTACAGGAGACCCGTGCGGACGCTCCATCAAGCCACATTACAGCAGGATGACCCAGCCACCGCTTCCATTAGCGGCTGGGCCCCTCCCACACTGGCCACTGCACAATTTATTTGCTCCAGTACTCTGGATGCCTGATCAATCCCACAGTAATTATCTCTTGTCACTAAAGGCAAAAAAAATAAAAAAAAAAAATCAAGCCTTCTGCCTGGATGACCACCTTCCTCACACTGAGGCTTTCCATTGTGGCTGCACAGTAAGAGAGGGATAATAGAACTCGGGTGTGCTGGAAAGTTCTTTGTGCGGCCCCCTCCTCGGGATGCTCACAGGGTTCTCAAAACTGTGGCTTTAGATCTCTGCTCCTAACTTAGAAATGCCTGCATCTTAGACAGGCCATGGCTTATCCAGGCTCTTAGGCAACCACCTAGTATCCTGAAATAAGGCTTTGCCCAGGCTCTTGACTTCAAAGAGACAAGAGAGAGGGGTCATTTATCCAGAGAGCACAGCGAGTGTCTGCTACAAGTGCGGGACTGCCTGGGGCTACCAGGATAGCTCCTTGAGGTCAAGCGAGGACCAAGAGCCCCTCATAAGCAAGGACGAGGACGCCAGTCCACAAAGTCCCACAGTCCAAGAATTTTCCCCAGCTTTAGGGCCCCTCCACACCTGCGCTAATTTAACCTTTAATGAAAACTATCAGGAAGGGAAACTTCAGTCCCTTAGGGGCGTGTGCCGTATCACAAATACTCAAGGGCTGATATGTACATGAAACCGGCGGTCCCCTCACTGGCGAGCAGACAAAGGGCAGACTCACAGACTCAGAAGGCTGTCTGGACCCATTGCTCCAGAAGGATAAGGGACAGCTGAACTCCAAGCTACTTCTGTCTACCAAGGAACAGGTGCACAAATTAGGACAGACAAACCAGCATTTCAGGGGAAAGTTAACTCCAGAAGGGTCTATAGACACGTCCAGGAAGGTAAGCGGATCTCCTGATCTGGAGTGAACGTGTGCAGATCACAGCTCCCCAGGCCTTTCAACAACGATCTATTTTTATTTATTATTTATTTATTGCCTTCAATTTAGAAGGCATCAATGTTGGGGAGCACTGTGCCAGAGTTCTCCAAGGATCTATTGGGACAGAGGAAGATAAGAACGCTTTTGGCTAGTTGCTATCTGGCCTGTAGCATCTCTCTTCTCCCCCGCCTGCCAAGGAACGCTTTTTTACAAGGATTCAACACTGAGCTTTCTCTCTCTACCACGTGTTTAATAAATAGCTTGTGCCCAACCAGGCCAAGAATATTAAAGGCAGCGGGATTATGAGGCTAAAAGCAGAGAAGGCCAAGGAGAATCAAATACAAACAGTCACGTGTTTGATTTTACTAAGCACACTTTCATTAAGAAAACCCAGGACGACTCTGCAGCATCAGGCTGGATGACTGCGGGTGCTCCCACAGAACGTGGACAACGGGACAGGACCCGTGGGTTGCAAAAGCATCTCCACTGATGGTGCGGTTGTTTCTGGTTCTGTCTGGCTCAAAAGTAAGAGGTGGGTCCCTTCCTCTTCAGCCCCCTACACTCTTTTAAGGAATTCTTACCATCTTTTAGTCCATCCAATTAAAGGCTGTGAAAGTTAAAGTCAAAATAAGTTGCATTTGCCCCAAGGATGTGGGCAGCCATACTAAGAGAAATCAAGAAAAAATGCCACACTCCCATCTGTTTGCCAGCTTCCCTTTTCTGAGACCACTTAAAGGATGGTGAAGATCCTGAAAGGTTTTAAAAATTAGTCACATGACGTCCCAGTCATGAGGCTAGCATGTCTGTCTCAGCTCCTGACTGGGACTGGAGGCAAGGTTCTCATGCTGGCACTTGCTAAACAAACGTTGGATGAGTGACTTTTGACAGCAGTGCCTTACAGGTTTGCTTTTAAATATTCTTCTTAGAAACTACCTTCATTAATGAGTATTTATTTTGCAGGGTCTCACGATATAGCTCAGACTGGGCATGACCTGGGATCTTGCCTCAGCCTCCTTAGGGCTAGGACTACAGCTGTGCACCACTATATCTGGTTATTCACAGTGACTTCGTTTGGTTTTCAAACAGGGTTTTCACATAGTCCACACTGCCTCAGACTTGCCACGTAACCACGTAACGTGCCACGTAACCACGGATGACCTTGAACTGCCGATCTTCCCACTTGTACCTCCTAAAGTGGGTCATAATAGGTATGCGTCACCAAGCCTAGCTCTTCAGTGAATTAATTTTTTTTTCCATTTTATTTTCCTGTAGGAGCTAAGCTCATCAGCCAAACTGTTAAGGGCAGTAACAGCATGGGTTCCAGAACTGATATGCAAACAGTGCACTATGGAGGTCGCGGCCCTACCCAAAGAGGAGGCTACCCCAAGCCACACTGAGGCGTTAGAGGACAGACACGCAACCAATGAAGCAGTTAGGGAGGAGGAAGTCTTCCTCCTAACTCCTCCTAAAGAGCCAGAGGCCTATGGACCACTGCGTGCCATCAGGGACAGGAAGGCAATCGAGGGTGCCTATATATTAAGAGCTAAGTAGTCTGCCAAAGAGCAACATCATTACATTCTCAATGGTTTTAACAATCATTTAGAAGTAATAACTACAGGGTTGGGGAGATGGCTCAGTTGGTTAAGTGCTTGCTGTACCAGTATGAGGACCTGCAGTCAAATAAAAATGGGAGGTGTCGGATTTAAATCCAGTGCTCAGAAGCCAACGGGAGGATTCCTGGGGCCTGGTGGCTAGCCAGTTTAGCTGAACTGGTGAGCTCCAAGTTTGGTGAGAAGCCTGTGGCTTCCACAAGCCTGCAGCAAATACAACACACGGATGTGCTCTTCTATGTATATAGATCTATGGAGACTCTTTAATTTTCTCTAGCAAGTATGTGTCCTTCCAGCTGACAGTGGAGTTACACCGTGATAAACTTACCACAGACTGACAAAGTGTGGGATGCCAAAAATATATTTACCATACCCAATCTTCCAACCTGCACAGCTAAGTGGCAGCAAGCTGCAGACGTGCCTCTGATTCCCGTCCTGAGAGAGGACGGAGAACATGGCTGTTCTCTGACAAGCTACCACTCAGCAGCTGTCCCTGTCCAGCAACCCCAGGGAGTGTGGCGCTGTAAACGGCCAGCCTGGAAGAGATCCAAACTCAGCAGTCAAGCAGTGTCTACTGAATACACACAGCTGTCACACTGTTGCTAAGCAGAAAATTAGTGGGGTCAAGCCAGCAAAAGCTGGGGACAGTCTTTTCTAGCCTAGGATAGTCCCTGAGCTCGATACACAGTCAACTTCTGAGAGTTAGGTGCTGAGTTCACAGGTGTGTACCCTCATGCCCAGTTTTATGCAAGGACTTCAGGCACGCTAGGAAAGGACTCTACCAACTGAGCCGCACTCCAGCCCTACCATATTGTTTTAATCACTATAGCTTTATAAAGTGCTTTGGGTTATAGTCAAACTGGTGTTTTCTGATTTCTTGCTATTTTTTTTTTTAAAAACATTTTCTTTTCTTTCATGTTTCTGTTTCTAGGTAAGTGTTAGAATCACGCAGGCAGTTTCTAAAGAACGAAAATAGATTTTTTTTTCCCTTGTAAACTCTGGTAAGCCTAAAAAAATTAATCTGAGGAGAATTAATAGACTGGCCCTTTAAAAAATATTCTCAATGGCACCATTCTCTGTCTTTAAAGTTCTTCAATATAGCTTTACCTGCCCAGGCTATTTTTCTCAGACAAGGAGATACCATTCTTTGTAAGGGCACGAAAAGTTTTAAAACTAAGCCAGGAGTGATTTAAACAGCAGCACATCTGAAAACATACAAAGAGCTTATCATACAATATAGAAGAAGGACTCTTAGCCAAGCCAAATGAAAACCCATTAAAACTAGACAGCTCGTGTGCCTGAATGGAATTTTACCATTAACGACCATTTATCCCATTTAATTAGTATTTTCCCGACACACAATAACTTGCACTAAAATACCGTTCTCTCGCCTTGAAATTTCTAATTATTGTTGCGACCCACACCATTACGTATCTCCTCCGCTTTCTCCATCTTTCATGCCATTTAAGCGGTGAGATTTTCAATTATCTACGCAGGGCGGACAGAGATACCTCTAAGGAAAGGGGCATAATATGCAACTCAATTTCTCTAAAAGCCAGGAGAGATCATTTTTAGTCAGAACAAACACACTTTGTCTTTCATCATTTTTTTTTTGCAAATAAAGAGTAAAACAGGCTATTTAAAACATCCATTTAAATGCAAATTTTGATATCCCAAGAGAAAAATGTTAATCATTTAAATAGACAGGATTAGTGCCCACCCTTTGCCACCCTCCATTGCCTCTCCTAAGTTTTAGAAAAATATAGCCTGAGTCCACGCAAGTTAAGCCACCAAGGAGTTCTTAGGTCTTAGGAATGCTCACTGGGCCAAGAAGGCTGAGAGGGGATGGCAGTCCTGTTTTGTGTCTGAGGAAGGGCATGAACAGACAGTCTCAAGCACATCATGGATCTCAACTGACTGTCTGACCGTCTCAAAGAGGAACCTATTGCCCTCACTAGAAGTTGAGTTAACAGCAGCTTACGCAGGTAAATGGAGCTCAGGTGCGTTAAATGACTGTGAAGTGACTCAGTGGGCTGTACAGGCTGCCACAACCCTCACCCCAGTCCACTGTGCTCCCCCATCCCCACACCTGTGCCGACTCACCCAGCATCCCCATGCCAAGCATGAACGCATCCATGGTGTAGGGCAGCCCCCGGGCCCGGCCTCTTGTCCCAGGTGGGAACATGACTTCTTTCGGCTGAGCTTTCTTACATTCTACCTGTTAAACAGAAAGGAGGACAAATGAGATGCAAATGAATTCCACGTAAATGTCAGACGCCGAACCCATCGGGTTACGGGGCTGTTATTTTCAGCCCCACTCCTTACTCACTGTAAAAAGAGCTGCGCTGAGCAAACGGCCTGCAGAATAAATATTTAAGAAGCCACACCACTTGTGCAAATCCTGCGTTGGAAAAACCTACAAGGATGAAATTAGGTTCTGGAAGGGCAGTGAGGACGCAAGCTAAAGATACACACGCGGGGCTGCAACCTGGTGCCGTAAGCGTGATGGCTAAGGCGGCGGCAACGCTGATGGATGGGCCTGGGGTAAGAGCAGCAGCAGCAATTATAACCGTCTTTCATGGTTGTTGGGCCTTTCAGACAGATTCCTTGATGGTCCTGAAGGCCAGGGACTCCTCACATCAGGCCATGAGAGACCCTTTTTTATGAAACAGAGAAGGTACTCAGTCCTGGCTCCATCTCCCAGATGAGACCACTGAACGTCAGAGGCTCAGAAGTAACATGCCACCTTCCACCCCCAGCAGGCAAAGGCCTTGAAGCCAGGTGTTACATTGACCACCGGCCTTACCCAAGGGAGTCCCGAGATCTCACATAGACTCTGCTCCAATGGATTATTTGTTTTGCATTTAGCACTCATGTCTTTTAGTGGTTGCTAATCTTTCCATTTATCTTCTGCCTCCAGAATCTCCCGATCCTACTCTAAATATGCATCCAGAGGTCAGTGACTGAACAAGATTACTTATAGACAATAAAAACCATTGGGCCAGGGAGATGGTTCAGTGGTTAAAGTCACTTCCTCTCAACCCCGATGACCGGAGTTCATTCTCTGGGACTGACAAAGTGGGAGGAGAGAACGGAGTCTCAGATTGGTCCTCTGACCTCCACGAACGCCAGGACACACACTCCGACATCAATAAAGATGCGCAATAAAAAAAAAAAAACCGAGACTCCGGCAAATAAAGCTGCGGCCCCCAGAAGCTCCTGCCTGGTTTGAGGGGACTGCCTGAGCTTGCTCAGCATTGCTTGCTTTTAGTTTACAGGCAAATTTAACAAGCACCGTTGGCTGTAAATCAAGCCCATTGCTGATAAAGATGGGCCGTTGCGGGGCAAAGCGGGGCACTTAGAGCAGCCAACAGGGACAGCATGGGGGCCTGACGGTGACAGAGGAAGAAGAATCGGGTATCTTATTTAAAAACAGTCTCGGGACATATGGGAGAGGCGCAAAAGCTTCACTTGGCTCAGCAGCTGCCAGGGGTATCACTGTGTCACAGGAGATTACGTTGCCGATGGTGCGTCTGAGGCAGCCAGAGTGAGCTAGATTGTGTGCAGTATGCATTGCTTAAAAGGCGGACCTACACAGAGGACCCATTTTGGAGATATGCTCATCCCAGATACTCCAATTAGAAAAACTTAGTGTTTTTAGTACTAATTATAAAGCCAGGAGTGGTGGTGCATGCCTGTAATCTAAGCACTTGGGATGCTGAAGCAGGAGGATTACAAGCGTGAGGAAAGCCTGGGTTATGTACGAAGGTCTTGCCTCCAAAAACAAACAAAAAAACAAAGAAAAAAAGAAAAGAAATTATTTAGCGATCAAGGGGAAATGCTGACCTAAAATAATAACTCTGAAACCATGTGACAGGTATTATTCTTGCTCTTTAAAGAATGGTAACTGCAAATATCTTTAAAACTGGACTCAACACGCATGACAGATATGCTCACGATAAAGAGGCTTTTGTTTTGTTGTTTAGAAGAAATGAGCAAGGTGAAAGAGAAATAGCTAAAAGATATGAACAGGCAGTTCACAAGCAGTTCATAAAGAAGCACATAGCTTTAGAATAAAGTATTTTGGGGGGGGGGCTGGGAAGATGGTTCATGGGTGAAGTCATGTGCCACACAAGCATGAGGACCTGAGTTTCAATGTCCAGAGTCCACGGAAGAGATGGATGTGTGGCCTGCACATCTGTAACCCCAGCAGTCCTCTGCGGAGATGAGAGAATTCCTGGAAGCTTGTGGGCCAGAAAAACAGTGTATGCAGGGGAAAACCAGCAGATTCTGTCTCAAACGAGGTAGGAGGACAGGAAGTAGCAGTCACAGTTGTCTTCTGATCACCACACACGTGCTGTGGTATGCGCACACACAGGCTCAGCCTTTGGTGGAGAAGGGCATGGCTGTAGCTGTGAGGTGGCTAGTCATATTCCTCTGTAGCCAGGAAGCAAAGGGCAAGCAGAAAGAGGGGCTGGGCTATGTAAGTATCAAAGCCTGGGGCCTGGAGAGGCTCAGTGGCTAAGGGTATGTATTGTAAACTGGGTGTGGTGGTGCAAGCCTTTACCCTGGCACTTGGGAGACAAGAGGCAGGCAGATCTCTGTGGGCTGGAGGTCAGCCTGATCTACATAGTGAGTCCAGGACAGTCAGGAAGTCACAGTGAGATTCTGTCTTAGAAAGAAAAAAAATGCAGACTGTCCTTCCAGAGGGCTAAATTTTGAGTCCAGGGCACACACAACTTCCTATAATTTCAGTTCTAGGGTATCTGGCACCTGTGTGTGTGTGTGTGTGTGTGTGTGTGTGTGTGTGTGTGTGTGTGTGCTTTTGCCCCACCCCAGACAGAGACATAGACAGACAGAGACAAACACACACACACACACACACACACAGATAAATTGTAACAGAATAACAAAGCAAAACAACTGAAAGCTTGCCCCAGTGACAGACTTCCTCCAGAGAGGTTCTGTCCCCTAAAGTTTCTCCAATAGCACCACCAGCTGGGGACCAAGTGTTCAAATATATGAGCTGGACGGCACGATTCATATTCAACGCACAACAGGCAGAAATCAGCACTTTGATTTTTCCCAAGGGCAACTGGTAACATATAAAAACCTACTATGATCCCATCTTTTGATCTAATAATCCTACAAGTAGGATTTTGTACTGTGAGGGTCTACGAATGTGGCCGTTTGCCAGGCATAACAACAACAACAATAATAATTCAACACAGGGATTGGAGCTGGTGAGATGAGATGATTCAGTAGATAAAGGCTCTTGCCACCAAGCTTGGCCACCTGAGTGCTGTCCCTGGAATCCACATGCTGCCAACTGTCCTTTAAGACTTTCCCATGTGTGGCAGGGCACACACAGACAAGGACAGACAGACAGATACACATACACAGAGTAATATTTAAAAAAAAAAAAAAAACAGGATGGGGCCTAGAAAGATGGCTCAACAGTTAAGAACACTTGCTCTTGAAGAGGATCTGGGTTTGAATCCCAGCACTCACAGGGTGGCTCACAAACATCCATAATTCCTTTGCAGGTACAAGGCATACTTGTGACACACAGATACATAAAATAAAATACATCTTTAAGGCGGGCTGTGGTGGCGCACGCCTTTAATCCCAGCACTCAGGAGGCAGAGGCAGGCGGATCTCTATGAGTTTGAGGCCAGTCTGGTCTACAGTGTGAGTTCCAGGACAGCCAAGGCTGTTACATAGAGAAATCTTGTCTCAGAAAAACCATACATGCACACACGCAAGCATACATGCATGCACGCACAAAAAAAGTCTTTAAAAAAATTTAAACAAATAGACAACAGAACTACCAGGTTACTGATGAAGTGGAGTCTGGTCAAATGCCATCAAAACACTGGCCATGAGGTACTGGTACTGGGGACTTCCTAGGTCCCAGGCAGACCAGGACAGTAGTTACCCTAACTACAGGAAGACAAACATAAATGATAGTGACCTTGTGAAGAAAGCAAAACAAACAAACAAAAAACCCAAGCGTGTATATTGTATTAAAAATATTTAAAAGATCTACAAAAGTTGTCTTAGTTCAGCTTAAAAATTATGGTGTAGGGGCCGGGTAGTAGTGGTGCATGTTTTTAATCCCAGCACTTGGAAGGCAGAGGAAGGAGGATCTCTTGAGGTCAAGGTCAGCCTGGTCTACAAGAGTTAGTTTCAGGACAGCTAGGGCTGTTACACAGAGAAACCCTGTTTCAAAAAAACCAAAAACAAAAATTACGGTGTATTCTGTTACTACTTCCCAAGTCTCCTGCCATGTAGTGGCTGCATGTTACATGTTTTCATAAAACAATGTAATAGCCTGCCATGAATAGGGTTACTGGGGGAATTTCTCTTGCATGTAGGTGGAGAAAGATGATTAAAAACAAATTAAGTTCAACCACATCAGGTCTTTTAGATTTCTGCTCGTAGCTCAGGCATGGTGATCAGCCCTAGGCCCTGCCTTTGGGCCCCCATCCTGGGAGCTGCAGGCTGAGAAGTCTCTTCTGCAGGAAGCTGCCCCAGCACAGGAAGATGGGCGTGCCCTGAGCAGGCAGGCAGATAATTACCTAACGCTGACACCAGGACGGGAATAATGCTGCTAACCAGCTCACTTCCTAACAGCCCTATCGGTGGCAATCTATTGCTTTGTCTTATGAAAACCTCCTGCCTGTTCCTAGGCAACCCGATCAACGGAAATTTCAGGTTTATACAATTTTCATTTAGGGAACATAAAGGTTAACTAACTGTAATGGGAGTATTTTAAATAAACCCACCTACTCTTCCCGGAGCTGAGCAGGGCTGGCAGCTGGGTTGAATTCTGCTGTCTTTGCTGGTGGCATGTTGGCAGCACCCACCACAGGAGCTCTGTCAGCCACCCGCCCTGTCACAGCGAGTGCACTCAGGGCCAGAGGCCATGGCATGCCAACTCTCTGGGGCCTCAGCCTGTCTTGGACCTTTGAGTGACAGCAGAGGCATTGGAAACAGCAGGGAGCCTGCTCAGGCCAGCAGTGAGAACTTCTGGAAAGACTACTCGGGTCCAGACTCTTTTTTGCACAGACTGTCCCCACTCCCTGCCCCTGGAGATTCAGGAGGATTAACTCTGTGATGTGGAAGAGCTCAGAGTTGGGATGTGGGGGATCCACCAATAAATAAGGTGAACCCCCGCTCAGAGGACTTCCACTCTCCTGTTCACCAAGGGTGCAG